GAGATGGATTGTCTAGGTGGCATCATTGATGGACTCAAGTGTGGCAGCGGTGGTGAGGTTGTCCCAGGATCGGACACTGTTTCGTTCTGCTGTGCATAAGGTCGCTATGAGTTGGTTCCGACTTGATGGCACCTGACAACAACAACAACATACCCCATCTGATGTACAGGAGATTCCTATGGGTGTGGCATCTTTCAAGAGATAAAAGGAGGAGAGCAGAGAAAAAGGGACCCACGAGTCCTGGCATGGTGCAGTGGGTTAATGCGTCAGACTATAAAGCCATTTGAACTGCAAAGTTGGCAGTTCAAGCTCACCAGCTGCTCCTCAGAAACCCTTACAGGGTCACTATGCGTCGGAATCGACTCAACAGCACTTTACAATAACAACCACCAAGAAAGAAGAGCCTGGAGTGGTATGCATTCTTTGGACTTTGGGTCCCTGCTCTGTGAAACTCCTAGGTCCAGGGGAAAATTGATGCTAAGGCACATGGAGATCTCCAAGAAATGCTGGTTCTTCAGATGCTGAAAGGAAACAAGGACCTTTCCCCACAGCTGGTACTCTTGATTTTAGACTTCTAGCCTCCTAAACTGTGGGAAAATACATTTGCTATAGCAGCACTTGATAACGTTAAAACAAATGCTAAAACCAGAGGGAAAATCTGATGAACACGTATTTATATAGTCTAAAACTAACTCTCCCTAAAGTACTTATTAGTTAGAAATAGAAAAATGCCAGCCGTGATAGCTTATTGTCAATTTGACTGGACCATAATTTTCAGTGGTTTGGCAGTTAAGATATAGTTAATGCCCCATGAGATGTACTGTGAGCAGCCAGTCAATTGAAAGGAAATTTCTTCAGGGGTATGGCCTGCTTCCAATAGATCGGATGCTCGAAGAAAGCTCCCTTCCTTTTCTGGTGGGTCTGGATTCTGAATTTGACTTTTCATCCAATCTCTGGTTCTTTGGACTTGAGTCAGTGGCCTGCTCTACTGCCTGCCGATCCTGGGAGTCATCGGTAGACAGCCATGTTACTTGCCAGACCTGCCTATCTGACATCTGACCTTCTGCCAATTCTGGGAGTCATCGGCAGCTGGCTCTTACCTGCCCAACCTGTTCATCAGCTCTACAGCTGTTATAGGTGCTGTGGGTTAATGAGTCAGACTGCAAAGCCATTTGAACTGCAAGGTCGGTGGTTCAAGCTCATGAGCCCACTCCTTGGAAACTCTATTCAGGGTCACTATGGGTAAAAATAGACTCGACAGCACTTAACAACAACATATATATATAATATATATACAAGCTTGGGAGTCCTGGTGTGGCAGTGTAGGATAAGCACACTGAACTGCTAACTGCAAGGTTGATGGTTCAAATCTACCAGAGGCTTCTCGGAAACCCTATACAGGCTTGCTATGGATCAAAATCTACTTGATGGCACTTAACAGAAATATAAGCTTCACTGATTTTGCTTCTCTAGAGAACCCAGACTAAGACATAATGCAAAGACCACAACGTCATTTGTATTTCTACTAAAAGCACATAGCCTGGGTCAAATAAAGAAAATAGGAAAAACAAATGGATAAATGACCTAGCCTATTAAAAAATATCAGTATCATTAAAATAGAGGTATGAAACTATTCCAGATTAAAGGTGACTAAAGAGATAGGAAGATTAAATGCAATGTCTGAAACTGGTCTTGATCCTGGATCATGAAGGAAATGAATATAAAGGAATTATTGAGACGACTAGTGAACCATGAATAAGATCTGCATCCTATGTTTCCTGACTTTGATCATTGCTCTGTGGTTCTGTAAATTGATGATACACAGTCAAGGGTATGGGAAAAGAGCACAATATTTGCAATTTACTATCAGATGATTCAGGAGGAAAAAAATTATAGATTTGTATGAGAAAAAATAAAACAAATGTTAACAATTGGAAAATATGAAAAAAAGTCATACAAGTTGCATTATTCTTGCAACTTTTCTGTAAATTTAAAATTGTTTCAAAATCAAAGTTATCTTTTTTTAAAGGGTAGGAAAATTATTCCACAAAGCATGCATGTGCATACTTGTGGAGAAAGAGGTCCTAGTTTGCATTCTATACACATTTACCTCCAAAAAGGGTAAAAAACTAATAATCCCATTTCCAGGATTCCTTACATTTCTCTATAGAGTCATACTGTCTAGTTTATAAATGATATTTACATTCAAACAGGAAAGTTAATGATCAAGTGAGATAGGAAGGCTTCCTGTTAGTCTGAGTATCTACAAACAAACAAAAATGTAGTTTTGATGAGCCATCTCTGAATCAGGAGGGGGAATCTCAGTACCATCAAAGAACCAGGAGTGGAGTGCATCCTTTGGACCCTGAGATTACTGTGCATTGGTCCACCTCAACCCAGGGACAGTAAAGCTGTGACACTGGAGGAGTGGCAGAGGAGCAACAGCAGAATCAAGAACAAAAGCATGAAAGAGAGCTATGGACTTCCCAGTCCACGGAGCCAGTAAAGCTTAGTGACTATGGGCAGGAAACAACTATGGTCTGAGCATTTGTGACCCATTTGTAGCCTGTTAACTTCCCTAATAAACCTCATAATCATTAAAAAAAAAAAAAATTTTTTTTAAGGAGTTTTGAATATAAGGCAGTAAATTTTAAATATTGGAGAAATAATGCAAAATGTGTTGTTGTTGTTGTTGTTAAGCGATGTTAAGTTGGTGCCGACCCGTAGTGACCCCGTATAGGGTTTTCGAGGAGTGGCTGGTGAGTTTGAACTGCTGACCTTGTAGTTCAAACCAACCTTGTGGTCTAGTGCTTATCCTACAGCACTACACCAGGATCCATAGAAATAAAATCTTCTGGTAAAATAATGAGTTCTGTTCTTTCTTCAGTTTTGAAAACAAATAGTATCTTGTTCCTTTAATGATTATTTCTTCAGGAAATATTTACCAGTTTTAACCACATACTGCTCACTGCTACAGGAGAAAAAGCTGTAAATAATCATTAATTGGCTCTTTTTTATTGAAATTAATATATATTTGTTACACTGAGAAGCAAAGTTTATTCACTGTGGTTGAGGTAAATGAGTATGACTGTGAATGGGAAATGCATAAGCAGTCAAATTTAAAATAATCTCATGTGCAATGTAACAAGAAAAGGAATTGTAATTCAACTTTACTTTTATTTTTACATTGTTTCTTTTTATGTACTTGCATATGTCATAAATACATAATGTTACTATAAAAACCTATACAAAAACCCAAGTAATTTAACATCTAAAAAAGGGAGAATGAGATACTGCTCTTGATTTCTGATACTTTTCTGTTTAAATACTTTTAAAATTCAGTTTTCAGGGAAACAACAAATCAAAAGCCATTAAGTTTTCACAAGACTTCGTGTTCACATAAATGCATCATTCAAGTATATTTTTATTGAAATAATATACCATTTCACCAGCTGAAAATTCAAACAT